GACCACCAGGAAAACCCCTGCCTTATGTTTTCTTCAAATTACTAACATTTAAAATGCAAGAAACCAAAGTTGCTCTACAGGAAAAGTATCTTCTCCAAACAGCAGCTTTCAAAAACCATAATAAACTATATAGTATTATATCACTACTCAAAGGAAGCACTATTAAATGAATGGTCTAGTCAGACAAGAATATTCTTATCTTTTTCAGGTCACAAAAATCGAAAAATCCTCCAAACTAAAAGGGACTTAATTTAGTCCAGCCTCCCCAACCTGCACTTTAAAACACATTGTAGGGATTTCACTGGTGATATAGTGGCTAGGACTCCACACTTCCACTGCAAGGGGTAGGTTCCCCTGGTTGGGAAACTAAGAGCTCACATGAGAAGTGGCACAAACAAGCAAAAAATAAAATAAAATGCATTATATTTGTGATTCTCAAATACTGGTCCTCAAGCATGTTCCTAATGGGCCACCAAAATGATCCCCAAATGGAAGTAATTCTTTTTTTTTTTTTAATTCTTTTGGTTTTTACAAACAAAAAAGTGGGACAATTTCATGTATTTTAATTTTTGTGCACATGCAAATGTGGCTGCCATTTCCTCAATTCTGGGAAAGGATCTTCTTAAGTCTATCACCACTGCTATATTGGGTTTGTCTTGATTTCAAATTTTGCTACTCTCCCTTTTCAGTTATAAGTTACCTTCAGTTTAGTTTCCCTGTTATCTATTTTGTGGTTCGCTTTGTGGTCAACTCTGTAATCTATTTTTATGTTTTGGGCTTAAACTTTCCAACAACATAGTCTACGTATTGCAATTCAAATGAGAGCTACTGATACTCTTACTGCAAAAGCAGATACACTTACGCAAACCCCCAAAATGTACTCAGTGACACATCCAGTCTCAATGTATGCTTTGCCAACAGGGAGCATAGCATCTGGCATGCGACAGGGGCTCAGCAAACATTTATTGAACAAATATGAAAGCACATGTATAAATTCCCATTCTTAAATGATATAAATATTTCCTTGCCCAATTCTTTGCCACATTAAACAAATGAGATATGGTTTAAAAAGTAAAACAAAACTGAAATCTGTTTTCCTGTGATATTCATAAATATAAATATGCACCTATTCTGGCATAGCTGAGATTATCAGACTATTTCCTTTAAATGACTCGAAATCTTCCTTCTTGCCACTCCACCCACTCAGTCTTGTGTCTGATCAGAGAATAAGAGATCCTGTGCCCACATGACATTCATATATTGAAGACAGCCATGATATAAGTAACTAAATCTTTTCACCATGATAAAATCTGGTGAGTTTTCAATCATCACTTAGATTGCACTGTTTCAAGTCCATTCTCTACCTTCACCTTCATACTGTTCTGGATAAATTCCAGTTAATAATGGCCCTTAAAACAGTGGAAGTTTTTCAGCTAAACACATTGCAGGTGTGATTTAGTCAAAGCAGATCTCCATCCAACCCCGCCCCCCAATACCCCTTCCCCACTTGTATCAAAACAGCAACAATTTCACTGGCAGGAACATGACTTTAATATACAATTCACAAACCAGTGACACTTGATGCCTGCAGAATTTTAAGCATACAAATGACAGCATTCCCTGGTAGCCTAGTGGTTAAGATTCTGGGCTTTCACTGCCATGGCCAGGGTTCAATCCCTGGTCAGGGGCTAAGGTCCCAAAAGCTGTGCAGCAGTCAGACAACACACACACACAAATGATTTTAGAAAAGGCTTGCTGCTTCATGTCCCCCTCCATGCCTTCAAGCCCACAGTCTTATATCATCATTTCATTTCTGTGCCTGGCCCCTCAATCTCAACCTCCACCTATTTTCTTTTTTAAGGGGGAGGACTTCTCTTTAACCACATCTATCTTTTAGAATCCACAAATTTTAAGAGAAAAAAAAAATCAAAGTTCACAAATAAGGGACGCAAGTTCTAAAATTCAACTGAAAAAAATGCAAGCATTTTCTTAAAAAGAGAAATCCTCTGATTAAACTAGATGAATGTACTTATATTAACACCTGTCTCAAAAAATAGAGGACTGGCCCTTGCAGCCAACTTCAGAAACATCTGGTAAGTTAGACTAGAACTCATTTCTCCTTTAGAAAGCATAAGCAGGACTAACTTTCCTACAAAAGACTCATTTTTAAAAAAGTATGTATTCTAGGATCACTGTTATTTTCCTTCTTTAACTTTGGCCACAATCACAAAACTCCTCTTGCACAAAGGGTGATAACAAATGAGCTAAAAAACTGGTTTAGACAGCAAAGACCACAAAATAATAAGCTAATCTACTCTTGAAAACTGAAAATATTTTCAATATATAAATACACTTCTAAGAAATAGGGCCACCCTCAACAAATACTGCCAAATAAACACACTATACCATTACAAGTATTTAGTATAATTACTTTGTGTTTCTTTGCTTATTAACAAGACATATAAAATGATCGTTGCATTTAACCAAATAATTGAAATACTTACTGGTACAATATTATACATTAGCACAAATTTTATAATGAAGAAAAAAAATTACTTGAACTTTTATATATGACCTGCAACTGCTGAGCGTTAGTATCCTAAGATACTATGATTTAACAGCCTTGTATAAGGGAAAGGCTGTCTGCCATGGAACCTGGCCATAAGATACAACACTATACACATCATCTGAGTCACTGCTCAACCAAGCAAACCAGATTCAGCTCCTTCTTCACATTCCTCCCTGCAATTTCATAACCATAAAGGGAGGATCTGTGGCACAGCCTTGTGAAAGAGGGCTGTAGCTCTAGGCAGTAACTGCCTGTCATATAGACTTCTTTCATCAATCCTGGAATCTAGCCTCCTCTTTCAGTACTTACTTGAGAAACCAGCAACAGAGGTCCTTACTGATAGATACAAAGCTACAGAGGTTTTAACTTTGTATCCAAATGATATTTTTTTAAAGAAACAAAGAAACAAAAACCAAGACTTAAAAAAAGTGAACAAAAGGTGAAAGTTGTTTTAGATATTTGGCATCTAGTTAGTAACTTTACACTATAATCAGGAAATAACACTGAGACTTAAACATGCAAATAATAATAATAATTTAAAAGGCTACTTAGTGGTATGCTAAGAAGCTCTGTCCAATCCATAGAAGAGAGGATTGGAAAGTTTTCAAAATGATTCAAGACGAAGTAAAATAGAGATAAAGGAAAGGCAAATCACTCATCCTCAGTGTCACTGTGAGTAGGAAAAAAAAAAACCCCACTGGACTGAGAATAAGAACTTTTTTGAGTTCTGTATTCTACAGTTTAACAACTGGACATGAATTTTGTCTTCTCTGTATGTTTAAAATAGTTATTAAAACCAGGGGTAAAGTGCCCTCCTAACCTGCCATTCAACCTTATGCCTAAGAGAACAAAACACCAGAATTCTAAGATAGCTGTCTCTAGATGTAAAATTTCACCCGCATACAGGATAGAGGGCCTTTTGTCTACTTTAGCTTCTCCCTTTCTCTAGAAAAACCTCCTCCAAATATTCAATAAAGGCACCAATTTTGTTGAATAACAAGGAAATGCAAATACTCTCTGCTCAGTAGCTACCTCCAATTTTCATTTAACACACAGTGGTGGGGAGATGATGCTAAATCTGTTTCATTTTTTAAAGTAAAAACTGTATATCTGTAGATAAATGTATTATGATTATATATTACATATATATAGACATACATATATATATTTAGCTGCCCTGAGGGGCTTGCAGGATCTTTAGTTCCAGACCAGGAATGCAACCCAGGGCTCACAGTGAAAGCGCCCTGCCCTAGCCACTGGACCGCCAGGGAATTCCGCAAACTGCATACAATTAAACAACGTATATAATACGATAAGTTCAATGTTTACTAAACAGTCAACCTTCAACTTCCCTTAAAGTGCTTCCACTTTAAGGTATTTTACCTTAAGAGAGGATTTAGATAATGTAAGGTGCTTTCAAGTGAGTCATTGGGGTAGGTCCTAATGCAGGACCTTCAACATCTACGGGCCTGTCTTCAGCTTGGCCACTAAGCCAGTTTCTAGACAGGCTTTTCAAGAGTTCGCTCGTCTGTAAATCAGATTTTCTCCGGTCACTCCACCCAACCACCCTGCTCCTCAGTATATTAAAGATAACTGAGTCTCCTCCCCTGAGCTTGCTGCCTTGGAGCACCATACCATTTTTTAAAACACCTTTTCCAGGCTGATAACTGCATTCCTCTTTATAGTTGCTCGTATACACGAAGACCCACCCTTTAATAGCTCAGAACGGACAAGTATACTTTTCTCCATCGGAAACTTTTTAAGAGCCCTCGATCTTTGCCCAGCTCTCCCCTGCCCACTCGACGCCCCAGCCTCTTAACCAAGAGAAATCCAAGAGAATGGCCCTGCTCAGACTGCCGGTGAAAAAAAACTAGGGTGGGGGGAACATGCCGCTCCGGGCACACGAACCCTGCAGCTCTCGCCACTGGGCTCTCTGGTCCTCTTTGCCGCCTCTGCGCGCCGCCTCCCTCCTCGCCGAGCGCACAGTAGGCGCCGCTTCAATTCTGATCCCATTTACCCTCGGCGACACCCACCCGCAGGGTAGCTTCCTTCCTCTTCGCTCCAGGGCTCGAGCCCTGCTCTCTGTTCTTCCTCAGATTCACCCTCCTCGGGGGAGTCCCTGCCTCTCCGCCGCCCCCGCGCGCTCGCCAGCACCCCTCACCCATCGTCCCATTCCTCACCGATCTCTTTCTCGTTGACCCTCGGGGGAAAGCTGGCCATCTATGGGATACCGTCTGATTCCGGGGGCGCGATGCAGACGCAACGGCAGAGAAGCTAAAGGCGAGCGCCGAGGGGCGTGACGCGGGCTGGGTCCCTCCCGGTCCCAGGGACAGAGGGGAGGGGCGGGACGGTCGCGGAGGCTCCTGCCGACAGCCCCGGGAAAGCTCTGGGAGGCCTCTGACCGAACTACGGAGTCAAACACAGACAATAGATGCTGATCCCTTCCTCCCGCCTACGAAGGAAGACACTTCCTTCCACACTGAAGAGAGCAAACGAGACACTGGAGACAAGATGGCGGGCGGCGCGGGGGATATCTGGAAGACGGGGGCGGGACTCTGACGTCATAGGGCTATACCCCGCCTCTCGACGTTCGGGACGTGACGGCCTCGGCTCCGCGCCCCGCCCTCTCTCCGGGTAAGCGCGGGCGTTGTCCTGGGGACCCGACCGGTAGCCGGAAGAGCGCGGGGGCGGAGGAGGGGGAGGGGCCGCTGCCCCAGCCGAGGCCCCAAAAGCTAGGATGGAGCTTACCGACTGTGCGTTTAGCTGGGTCTAGATTTCCTGGCCCGGGTCCCAGCATGATATTTACAAGTTGAAGCACCTTTGAAAAGGCAAACCGAGAATTGTATAATACATATTAGTCCACAGCGTAAAGATTAAATGAAATTTAAACTGTACTGTAGGGAACAAAAAAGACATTTCAGGTTTCAACTCGGTTTGGCCACCTCCCCAGCCTTCATGCGCTGGGGAACTGAAGGTTTCTCGGGTAAAAACAATGAGAAGACAAGGAACATCGCTAAGAACCACTCGTCCGGCCGCCAGCGTTCTGACGTGAGCCAGCCGGTTTTTGGAAGGGCCGAGGTGACCCGACTTGAGGAACAAGGAGACACGGGCAGGATGGCGTCCCGCCTCAGCGGGAAACCTCCCGGGCGGCCTTTGTCCTGCCTGCTCCCTGCGGCCGGACCTTCCTCGGGGCTGCAGCGAGGCTGGTAGTCAGCAGTGTCGTGGCCACTGGCCTAGGCAGACCCCACCGAATCTGCCCAGAGGTAGCTCCTCCTTCACCCAAGGTCTAGGCCTCTGGGAGGCAGCTAACCATTCCCACAGCAGGGATGATGCAAGTGTCAGTGAGCCAAGTTGGTTCCGGTTTTCAGAAGACATATTTGCACTTTAATGGGCTCTTCTGTGGACTCTGAACCTAGAGAGACTCCTTTCCCAAAATTGTCTCATCTTTTGCATTCCCTACCGTAGTGAACACGTCCAACAAGTCTCCTAAGCCAGAAGCTGGAGGGTTTTTAGACTCCAGCCATTCCCCTCTGGCATTACTCAGTCCATAAGCCCTGCCAGTAGTTTCTCTTAAACTGTTCTGGAGTTTGTCTTCTCTGTTTTTAAACAGCTGCCAGTGTCTTAATTCGAGAGCTGTTTGTGTCATCTCTCTTAACCACTCTTTATAACCCCACACCCTAAGAAGTCGCCATCAATACCTTAATGCATTTCCTCCTAGTCTTTTAAAGATTTACTAGCTGTGTGTCCTTGGGTAAATTAGTTAATCTTCCTATGCCTAAATCTTCTCATCTATAAAATGGAAATAATAATATTACCAACTTCACAGTTTAGAGAATTGAATTCATTAACTTATGAATTGAATAATTGAATTAAGAAAAAACATTTAGAATAGGGTCTGGCAACGAAGTGTCAGATACTAAGTATAACATAATTATTAGATACTATTTTTTTATATAGTAATCACAACTGACTGCAAAATTGAAAGATCAAAATCTCTTAGAAAATAAGGAATTGCAAAGAACCATAAAAAAACAACATCAAGAATGTGTATAATCAAAATCATAAAGAATAATTCTGGAAAGCATTGACTTCCAAAACAAAGCTGATCCAACACTGAAAAGAATGAATCTCATTCTTGAGTTATTTAGAAAACATTGCTGCTGCGTGGTTATCTACTAAGGCTGATTTAGTCATAATTTTTTATGTGGATATCATTATTGAAATTCTTGAATCAACGTTTACTATCTTGAAATATAATCTTTTAAAAGTTTACATCCTCTCATTCCATTTTCTTACATCTCAGCAAAATGTTATATTGAACAGTCAGGCATTTTTCATGTAGTTATCTCTCTCAAGGGTGTGTTTTTCTACACCATTTTCTTCTACTGCAGGGAAATACATAAGCATAAGAGAGAGGAAGCAAAATTATTACATTCCTTTGTTCAAGGAGAGTAACCATTTTCTATGTAAAGAATTAGAATTTTGGACTAGACTACAATAAAATTTGCATCTTGCCTTTTTTCTTTCTTAAGATAAAATAATATTTTCCTATGTAGATTGAAAAAACTTTTCACCACAACCATTGTAGGTAGTTTTAACTTCATTTGGAAGTGAGTTTTTTCCTTTCCTCTTTCAGAATATGCAGAATATGTAGTACTTGATAGTGCAGAATGGTGGGCTTCTTCTGTAATTAGTCTTCCATTACTCAAATGGATAGTGTAGGTATATTTCCCTTGATATCATGACTGTGTCCAATTCAAAATTGTGCCCTGTTTTGAGAAAATCCATACTCACCAAAAGCTATATCATTTCAGGTGGGTTGCTGTTAAGCTATGTATCTACACAGTTCTCTGAAGTTACAAACATCTAAATTAGCTTTAAATTAAGTTTTCTTGCAGGATCTTATTTCTGAATGTATACCTTGATGAGAGTAGAAAGTGTTCCCTTCCTGTAACAAAGGGAAACAATATTAAAATAACAAGCATGACTTAAAACAAAAAACAAAAACAATAAACAACAACACTAATAATTGTACAACAGAAGTTTGAAGCCTATCGCTATCAGAAAAACAAAACAACAAACCAACATTCAAAACACCAAATATTTTATTGTTCCCTAGTATTTTTTATTGTTCCCTAGTATGGTTATATCTCAAAGATGAAAAAAATTGCCACTGTCTTTTGACTCATTTGACCAAAACCAAACAAACAAAAAAGTTAAGAACAGCCTCATTGTTTATGCAATAGAAGACCTGCTTGTGTGTCTGTTTGTTTTGCTTTGGGGACCTTTGTATTATTGTTGCTACAACTTCCCCAGGCTAAGCCTAAGACTTCATCCAAAATTATTCAGTGCTTGGGTCTGAGAGCAGGAGTTTCAAATCTTGAGATTATGGAGTGAAGTCTAGGATCCTGGATTTAAAGAGTATGGAATTTACTCAAATTTTAGCTGGAGAAGCATAATTTATACACATAAACATGGGCACTAATAAACAGTAAAAGATACCTCGATAATTATAGAACATACAGGAAAAATAATAGAGCCCAGAGGGAAAGTCTGGAAGCAACCCTTTTGGCTGTGGTAGTCTTGCTGGAGATGAAATGTCTAGAAATGCTATACTTTACCCTGCTGTCTTAATTTTTCACTATTCTTCCTGATTTTACTTTTTTTTTTTTTTTTGGTGGGGTGTATGACAGTGTGGTATGAGCAGAATGTTAGTATCAGGTATTCAAAGATGTGTAATTTGATCTTAGTTTACATCTATACTCAGAATGGCTCAAAGTGTGGAAAATGGTGTAGCCAGTCTAGATGTTTCTCCATCTATTTCTGAGTGAGAATTCTCCCAGCAGATCATGGGAAATTATCATATTATTAATACGTCCAAAAAGATAAGCAGGGGTTAAAAAAAAAAAAAAAGATAAGCAGAGGTCCCAGTGTTCTGTAGGCTTCTCAGAGCCCGTTGTTGAGCTTGTAACAGGAGGGAAAGGGATAGGGCACAAGTTTTGAGAGAATGTCATAGCTCAAGGACACAGCATGAACCAGTTAGAATCAAATGGGTCCAAGATGGCAGAGGAGTCAACTTCTAGCCCTTGATCTTCTCTCAGCAAGCTATCATGACAGTTCCAAGGTACCATCAAGAGACCAAAAAGTGGCCCAACTCCTAGAAATCTCCAGCCCTTCACCAAAATAGTTGGAATAATCCTCCCTCTCATTAGCCCATGAAATTACCCAACCCATAAAAGCTACCCAAGCCACGTTTCAAGGCCACACTTGCCCTCTGTGATGGGCGACACTCTGTCTGTGGAGCATGCTTCTCTCTGATTCTGAGTAAATCCTCTTCTTACCTATCACTTTGTCTCTCACTGAATTCTTTCTGTGATGAGACCAAGAACCTGAACTTCATGAGGTCCTGAAACCAGGTACCATGGGTTTTGGCTGGGTTCAAGTCCCAGTCACGTGGGTTGAAGTCCCAATCTGAGGTAAACAGTTTCAGGTTGACCCACCTCCATCCCCCTCCTCTCCATACCCCCAGACTCAAGGCACTCACACACTGTCCGTTAGCTCAGTCCTGGACCTTTAGGAGAAATCAGTATAAAATGGAATATTCCATGCTGTGATGGAGATTTTCCTCATATCATTCATTTTTATCTTCCTGATAGAACTTTGTGTTTTCATTTTTCTAAATGTCCCTGCCTGTGACCATTTACTAGAGATTATAAGGAGGAAGAAAATTGTCTTTCACGGACTGCATGAAAGGCAAGGGTTTCTCTTGTCCTCCCCTCTATTCTTTGTTTGGGAAATGCTTCAGTACTCTTATCTCCAGTTGCCTGATTTGGGGACAACTTTTTTTTTTTTTTTTTTGGTTGTGCCACACAACATATGGGACCTCAGTTCCCCCACCAGTGATCAAACCTATGCCCCGACATTAGAAGTCTTAACCATAGATTAAGACTGGGGAAGTCCCTGAGACAGTTTTTTTAAGTCAACTGTTTCTTTCTCCCTTCTTGTGGAGGGTGCCAGCATCGGCTGGAATTTGAATCTTTCTCCTCAGAGAGTTCTGTGGACAGAATGTAAGCTGTCTATAGTTGAGCTGCTGGCCGAGTCACTCTTGCCCTGATGGAATGGATTTGAAAGCAAGATCTTACAATTGGTGACATCACTTGCTAACATGAATCATCGTTTCCTTTAGGCTGAAGGATTTCTGACTGATTTCCAACCCTTCTCCATATAATTTCTTTCTTCTTTTTAAAAATAATCTTATTTATTTATTAGCTGTGTTGAGTCTTCACTGCTCTCGGCCTCTTCTCTGGTTGCAGAGAGTGGGGCTGCTCTTAGAGGTGCAGGGCTTTCTCATTGTGGTGAATTCTCTTGTTGCAGAGCACAGGCTCTAGAGCACAGGTTCAATAGCTGTGGCACACAGGCATAGCTGTTCTGAGGCAGGTGGGATCTTCCTCCCCCAGGGATGGAACCCGTGTTTACTGCATTGGCAGGTGGATTATTTACCTCCGAACCTCAGGGAAGCTCTCATTTCTTTTTAAGTTCATATTTATCTTCCATGCTGTTTTACTTTCTGAGTTTGTTTTTTTCCTTTCTTTGAAATGAATTCTCTGGGTATAATGATAATGCTTCACTTTATCTACTTGGTTTTACGTTCTTTGAGGGCTATGACCTTTCTTGGCGTCATCTTCAGGAATTTGCACCTAATTAATATTCAATAGATGTTTGCTGAATGGAATTGAGTCTTTCATCTAACTTCCCACTCGGGTATTTGAGGTGAATTTAGAAAGCAAGTGTTATTATTACTGTCTTTACAAAAATTAAGAGAAATCAAATTCAAAAGTTTGGCTAGTAGGAGAGTTCAAAGACTGAGGCAATTGTGATTGAAGCCAATTAAAAAAAAAGATTGTGTGACTTTGTGTGTTAGTTTTACCTGCAGAAGTAAGTGTATTGAAGAAATCATCTCCGATGTATAGTTAGGAGTCTTTGAGGTTAGCATTTAATTTCTTTGAAGCATAAAATCATTTTCAGACTCATAGCCACAAGAGACCTTAGAGATCATACAACATAACCTTATTTTATAGGTGATGAAACAAATACTGTACAAATGAGTTTCTCACATTCATACAACTAGTTACTAATAGAATGAAGATGGGACACAACTCTGCTTGTGAGGAGTCAGGCACTTTTCATGTTGCACACTAGTTCTTTTCAGT